TACAATTTCTGGGTCACTGTGAAGATTTTTACTTGTTCCAAATGGCAGAGTTATTGTGATACTTCTAAAGCTCTTTGAGAGCTACTTGGTCAGGGTCTTCTTCTGAAGAAAGAGCCCATGACAGGATTTATACAACTGATACCAATCTCCAATGGGATTATAAAGAACTTTTCCTAAAGGCTTTTTCAAAACACTGGTAATTCTGGTCTTATTAATACTAAGATCTTTACCCAGAATTATCTGTATTGATATTTAAGGAGATGCTGGATTCTGACTTCAAATCCTGGGTTCTTTCTTTTATCAAATTGCCTTCATTTTTCCTGATATTAAAATTGTATTTTTTTAACACATAGTACCATTTCAGTTTTTAATTTTTCTTTTAACAGTTATGGAATACTTTCTGGAGAAGACATTGGAAATGTCTTGTAATATCTATTCTAGAGGATAGTAGTCAGGATCCCCAGCTCTAGGGGTCAATCCAGACTTATCTAAGCAAATTGCTGCCTATCTTTCTCCTGGTGACAGTGATTGATTTAAGGGTGAGCTCAGGACCCAAGTTAGTCCCTAATGAAGCTTAGGATTTTTGTTTAATGATTAAGGAAGAAAAGTCCTTTGTCACCTAATTTATGAATAAGGAAGTATATATTCTTCGTCGGAAAAGTCACGATGCATATTTGCATAGAAAAACAGAAAAAATATGTCATTATTTTTCTGATGACCAAGTAATATCAGGGCATTTGGCGGCCATTCTGTAGCCACAAGGAGAGGCTAATTTCTACCACCTAGAAGACAAAGCAAAGATATGGGCAAAAACTAAGTCCTTTGTGGTAGCATTAACCTTTTGGGTCATTCCTAATGTAAATCCTTACCTATTTCAGTTACATGAGCCAATAAATTTCTCATATTTTTAAACCAGTTTTGGTTACATTTTTTATTACCCAAAACCCAAAGCAAACTCACTAACACACCATTTAATTTTATATAAACAATGAGTTTAATAAGCGTGTTCTGTTTTATGTCATTTAAGTAGTCAGTATAGCTATTGAATAGAAAAGATATCAATATTGCTCCCCAGAGCATGAAAACAAGGATGACACTTGTTTTATGAAGGAACTTCAAAGTACTTAGAAAATTGTTAGATACTTACTTGATGATTAGCCATGTGGAAGTCCAGCACGTCAACCACTGCATCATCTGCCAGCCCCTCCTCTTCTTTCTTATGGCCACCACCTCTCATTGCTGATGTCTAGTTCTCACGTAGTCTGTCTGCTTGGTGAAGCTAGGTCTTATGCAAAATATGGAATTTTTTTGTTTTTTGTTTGTTTGTTTTGGGGGAGAGGTTTTTTGCTACAGGGCGTGTGTGCTCACCAGAAAGATGGAGACAGAGAGACAGAAAGCAAGAAATCACCCCCCGGTGGGTGGGGGGGGGATGGCCATGCTGCAATCCCTTCTCTTCCATTCTCCTCTCAGGATCTTAGGCATGCACTCACATGCACCCAGCGTGAGTTTAAGCCACCGAGTCCAGGACTCAAACTGTATCGACTACATGGGAGTCCAGTAATGTAACCATTACGCCAACTGCTGGTCCCAGATTTTAAGTTAGACTAGGAAATGTAGTTTTATAGGAAGTCAAATAGGAATGGGGGTTGTCATGAGAGCTGAGTGACACCTTCATTTCTGCCACATGTGCCAAGTACAGGGCACTGTTCTAGGAGAATGGAGCTGGGAACAAGAAAGACAGTGTGTCTGGCTTTGAACAGGAGAAGGTCTGGAGGGAAGCAGATAACAAACAAGTAAATAAATATAATTTTAAGTAATGAGAAGTATTATTAAAAAAAGTAAAGTAACTGGCTGGAGATACATATGTTAGTTTTGATAAGGTGTCTAAGGAAAGCCCTTACGAGGAGACAGCATTTGAGCAAAAATTTGAATGACAAGAAGCAGGGAGCTGAGACAAGAACATTCCAGGTAGAAGGAACAGTGAATTAAAAAAGCTCTGATGTGAGGATAAGCTTGGCATGTTGGACCAATAGCAGAAGACCACTGCAGGCAATGGGAGCATGGCAGAAGATGAGGTCAGGTGAGCAAACAGGGACTAGATCCCACAGGAACTGAGTTATACTGAGAATTTTGGGATGTTACTAGAAGGTTGTTAAGTTGGGGAGTTAATGTAACTTATAAAGATTCCTCTAGCTGTTTTGTGGAAAACACCATGAAAAAGGCAAAAGTAGAAGCAGGGAGACTGATTCAAAGCCTCATGCAGTTGTTCAAGCAAGGAACCACAAAGGCTTGAACTGGACTGGTGGTAAGAAGAGTTGGTTAGAAGTGGTCTGGTTCCTAGGTAACCTTAATGGAAATGCAGACAGATTGGATGTTGGGGTCAGACTAAATGAAGGGTGCTGCCTCGGTTTGGCCTGAGCAACTAGGTGAAAGGTGGTGCCGTTAATGATGATGTGTTTAGAAGCTAGGGGATTGGGACTAACATATGGCATTAATTGTTACATAGCTGGACTCCCACATAGTCTATCATGGTTCAAGTCCCAGGCCCAATAGCTTAAAACTCACTCCGGGCATGTATGCATTCATGCCCAAAATCTTGAGGGGAGAATGGAGGAGAGGGGATTGTGGCATGGCTATCCTTCCTGAAGGGTGATTTATCGCTTTCTGTCTCTTGGCAAGTACATGCACCCTATGCCAACCTCCCCCACAAAAAGAAAAACTGGGGGATTGAATGACATTACATAGGAGAGAGTGTGATAAGAAAGAAAAGAAGATTAAGAACTGAACCCTGGGACACTCTAATATTTGTAATTTAGGAAAAAGAAAAGGAAACATTCATATTAGCTTTTGAGGAAAGGTGAAAACTAGCAAAGTGTGCTGTCCCCATTTCCAAATGAATAAGTGTTTCCCAAAGGAGACAAAGAGTCTGTTGTGAATGCTTCCTCAACTCAGAATCTAATGTGACAATCAATGCTTTGGGTTCAGTGCAGATTCTTGATGGCTTTGGCAAGGGCCATCATACAGTGAAAATGAATCATACAGAGGAAAGAAAAAAATGGATGCAGAAAAGAGAGAGGGCCAAAAGCAAAGAGCAGAAGAGGGAGAAGATGGAGGGCTGACCTGAGACAGGGGCAAGACAGTAATAAGGGGAAGAGCAGAGTGTACAGGGGACTTAGTGATGGGGTGTGAGGTAGTTGTTTGTATCTGTTACAAGGATAGCCATCAGCTCAAATGGAAACTGGGGAGAAGAGAAAAGAATGCACAGAAGTTTGAAGAAAAGGCAGAAGGTGTGAAGGCTTCATCTCTTAAGAGTTGAAAAGTGATTTTTGTGAGAGAGATAATAGGATTGCTTGTTTGTAGTAACATCCGTGGTTATTAATTTAAAGTAAGACCAGTGATTTAATTGCATGTTTTCACTCAAAGCAGCCTTTAAAAAATATAATGCTCCTGGGGCCAGCAGGTGGTATAGTGGTTAAGACACTGAACTCCCACATGGTCAGCTGTAGTTCTAGTCCAGGACGTGGCAGCTTGAAACCCATGACAAGGTGACATTAGTGAGTGCCCAAAATCCTGAGAAGAAAATGGAGAAGAAGGGATTGTAACATGGCTATCCCCATTGAGGGTGGTTTCTCACTTTCTCTCTCTCTGTCTCTGGTGAGTGCACATCCCTATAGCAAAAATCTCTTAAAAAAAAAAAAAAAAGAAAGAAAGAAAGAAAAAGAAAAAAACAGCCAAACAAACAATGCTCCCTATTTGTTTTATAAACCAAAGGAAACAGGTTCTGGTGCTGGGAAATATACACCTGGGAGGAGAGAAGACTAGAACATTAGCACATTTTGACAGAGATATTTTCAGGAGCCAGGATTTTGTGATGTCCTGGAAGCTGACATCTGTGTGTGAGAAAAAAAATTTGCATTGGACATCTTACCACTGAATTCCTCCTCCCATGGTAACCCTGAACCCTGTGCCTCCCTTTGAGGACAACGCCAAGAGCCTTTCATTAATCTATAATAGTATCTGTCTACTGGGAAAAATGTGTCACGACTTTCCCAACAACCCGATAGTACCTTATTATTAGTTATCTAAGAAACTCATGAGGAGTAAGATGAGCAAGCCTTAGCTGAACCAGGAACTGCCACCCTGATCACTTGCAATGATAGTAACACATTTGTGGCACTTACAATGGGCTAGGTACTACTCAAAGTAATTTGCGCATTTTCACCCTTAATCGTCCCGGCTCTCTCTGAGGTAGGTATCATTTTTATCCCTACTTTACAGATGAGAAGACGGAGGTAGAGGTACTGAGTGACTTACCCTCGTAACCTAGAACTTGCACCGAGAGAGTCTTGTGTCAGAATCTGGGGTCTCAGTCATGGTCCTACCTATACGTACTGTTCTCCTTAGTTCTTATTGTCACTTCTGCCTCTTCTAACTAGGAGATGGTGTATATGACCCAGTTTTGGTGGGATTAAAGCAATCAGACATGATTTACACTTGTGTTTTTATGCAAATTTTCCAGTGGCTGAAGACAATAATAGTGTATTTAATTCTATGCAAGTTATTTCATCTATCCAAAAATTAGAGGGTTCACGGCAGTGTTTATGCTACATTTACTTTATTCTAGATCCACCATTTTTGTACTAAATATTACTGTTAAGATATTGATTGTATGCCCAAGTTCTGGAGTATTGCCCAGATTTAATTACTTCTTTTTGTATTCTTATTGCTGTTAAAGCTTAGTTGTTCACCAGGTGTGCATTTCCTGCTAAGTTGATGCTATTATTTTTCTCCTTTGCCACAGGTCATCATTGCCCTTTCAGAAAAACACCGTTTACATATTCCTTATAGGAACTCCATGATGACCAGTGTCCTAAGAGACAGTTTAGGAGGGAACTGCATGACAACTATGATTGCAACGCTTTCTTTGGAGAAAAGGAATATTGATGTATGTTGGTTCTTCTTACTAGAAACACTAACCTGCTTTTACTTTGCATGATAAGGAATGTGTGTGCATGCATGAGAGAAAGAGAAAAGCACCATCAACACAGTCTCATTTTGCCATGTTCCCCTTTTCCCAGCCCTCCAGCTTTTCAGGATCTTAGGCTTTAGCACATGAACCCAGTGTGTTTTCAAGCAGACCCTGAGACCCTGGGATCCAAACTCACAGCTGGTCATTTGGTTTCCAGCACTACAGTTCAGTTTGCTACTGACCACCACCATGCTGGGTCTAGTCAGGGTTTTTGTGCTTTTAGGTTTTTATCTCCTCAGCTGGGTTAACACAAGCCTTCAGAGGTACATACCCTATGGAGTCTATAGCGTCAAGTTATTTGTGAGCACTGTAATAGCCACATATAAGAACCGACTTCAAATAACGCAGGATGGTTTGGAAAAACCTCATATACAAATTTTGAAGGCCTACTGAATGGATTGGTTCTTAGCTAGAGAAATGAGAGGGATGGCACTTTAGCTTCTCTTTCAAGATTTTGCTCTTGATTTCTAAGATCTGCATACCTTGGAGGTATCCAAAGATGTATCCTTGGACACGTCACTTGGTGCAGTACCCAGGACACTTTGGCAGAGACTGGCGCTGACTGGGCTTTCCTGCGTTGCCTTAGAGCCAGCTGATGTTATGTGTATTTCAGTCTATTGTGTGGGATCAAGGCCCTCTCCAAAGGAGGAATGCAAGAAGGATCAATCCTTTGGTTATAAGATCCCTTGAAAAGCCTCTTTTTATGATCTGTTACAAATATTTGTTTTCTAGTCTTTCATGTTTGTGTGTAAGGTACCTGCTATGAATACAATTTATGTATGAAATTTATACACAGATTTAATATATCCATAGTTGAACATCACATACCAGCTGTCACTCAGGACTTCAAGATCTCATATATCTTTGGCATTGGTCATTTTATTAAGCCATATCAGGATTTTGATTAAAAAATCATTTCCTTGATGGGGCCAGCAGGTGGCATGACATTTAAGGCTTTGGACTCCCACATGGCCAAACATTTTTTAAAAATAAAAATATTTTTAAAGTTATTTTTTGCTTTTTTAGGAGTCTATATCTACCTGCAGATTTGCACAACGAGTGGCACTCATAAAGAATGAAGCTATTCTTAACGAAGAAATTGATCCCAGATTGGTAAGCAACTTTTAACACTATGTTTTTAAAAAATCAAAATATAAAGGTAAGCTGAAATTTGGTGATGGGGGGGATTCTTACTCTGTACTAAGCAGTGTTCTAAGTGCTAGAAATGTATTATTTCATCCAATCTTGAACAGCTTTATGAATCGGTGCCATCTCTCTCAACTTTACATATAACACAATCAAGGCCCCAAGAGGTTAGGTAATTCCTCAGTATCACAGTGCTCATAAGTGGCAGAGCCAAGATTCAAACCGAGTCAGTTGGATTCAAGAGTCTGTGCTCTTACGTACAGTTGTTTCACCACAGAGAAGTGCAGTGAGTCCTGAAGATTCATACAGCAGAAGCATACACCACTAACTTCAAATGCAGGTCTTAACCATTTAGAAAACATCAGCTTAACTTTCCAGAGACAAGCATAGACCACCTTTCCTGAAAGCTTCTAAAGAAAGACAAGTCCTAATGGCTATTAAATAGAACTATATTTTACATAACTATCTTGATATTTATTCTGATTTTTTAAATTATCAGTTTGATGCATGGACAATGTGCAAGCTTATGGGGTTTTGTTTTTTTTTTTAATATATATAAGTTTATTTACTTGCTTCTTCTCTAGTAGAGAGAAAGAGAAGGAGAGACAAAAAGCAGATGTTTTCAGTAGGGTCCTAATGCCATGATCTACCCCCAGCCTCAGCCAGCAAGGATCATGGACACATGCCCAGCATGTACAGGAAGACCTTATGGCACAAACCTGGGACCCTCCTACATGGTCTCTACATTCAAAGCATTGTGTTACTGCTGTGCCACTCTAGCCGGCCAAGCTTCTAGTTTTATAATAATAATTTAAAAAATCTTGTTTTATCAAAGCATACTTTTAAATTAAAATTCTTTTTACAAATTATAGAATTCAAGTATATTTTCTCTTTTTTTCTCTTTTGTTAGTTTTCTGTAAATAAAATATAATACTGAAACAACTCATGCCAAATTTGAAAATGTTGAAATGAAATATCTCAATTTTATCAAATTCCATAAGTAAGATTAAATTACTTTTCAAATCACTCTGATTTTCTTATTTCTCTATAAGATAAACTGGCATAGGCTTAGTAGTATGCTATTAAAAATATGTGAAATCTTACCAATAGTGCTTCACTTACAAATTTCTCAAATTCAAAAAAATTCCAAATTCACTGTTATCCATATTAATTACTTTCTTTGATTGTTTGCCCTTTCTTGTCTGATATTGTCCTATTGAAGGATAAAGGGAAAGGAGAAAGGCCGAATAATGGAGCCATCTGTTTTATCCTGCTCACTTCAGAAAGCACCAAGCTCTCCTACTGGATTCTCTTTGGGAGAAATCAGTGGGCGAGGCAGGATCTGTATCCAGGACAGGCCCTGGTTAGATACCGGCATCTCACAGTGTCTCCGCTGGAAGAAGGAGATAGACCGCAAAGACATGAGTCAAATGGAATTGAATTCCTAGAGTGCATTTTTCTGCTATCTCTCTCCTTCCAACAGCCCTATAGTATTACTGTGCACAATGGAAAAGGTAGCACTGGAATTATTAGCCTGAAGACAAAAATTAATTCATAATTTAAGGAAAACAACCGTGTTAAACATCAGAGGGTTTTCTGTTTTATTTCTAATTTGGCTAAGGAGACTTTTCTTTGAAGTAACTTGAAGAAAGGTAAACATTATCATGTGTTTGATGTAGTCTGTGAAAGATTTAAAGAAAAGAGAAATCAGGAGTCAAAAGCTAATAGCTGATAATTGAACAAATGTTGAGGTCTTCCTGGTGCAGAATAATCTTGTAATTGACAGTACTGTTCCCTGGTCTCTTTATAATTGCTTCTAAAAAATGACACTACTGTTCATTATTTGAAATACACAGAGCTTTTCTGAAGCACAAGTGACAATTGAACATTTTCTGAAAACCGTCCCAGACACAACCTAGGTGGGATTTCCCATGTCTTATTCTCAGCATTTAATGACAAATGTGGAACCAGTCCTACATGATCTGTATCACAAGGATTTGCCTTGTTTCTTTACAAGGATTGGTACTTCAGAAAGACAAAGTGATAGAACTGTGGAGAAGGCCAGTTTGTGGTGAATATGGGCCAAAATCTTCTACAAATGGTTCTAATTCCATACTACCTGCAGTAGGTTGATGGGAGGTGTAACTGTAGTAATCTCAAAACTATGAAAATCTGGCTTAGTTTTGAGATTTCTACTTAATAACACATAAAAAAAATTCGATATTATATTTAACTTTGAAAACCTTAGTAGAAGTAGAAAATATGACATCACTATTAATTTATAAAAGAGGGTACAAAGAAAAGACTCACATAGTTCTCATCTAGGGACTTTTCATTCTTCCTATGTTGATGATTCTGAAAATGGTTTTGAAAAGAAGCAAATAAAATTCACACAGTCCTGTTCATTTAAATAAAGTTCAGGGAGCACTGACATATTCAAAATACTTAGTGTCATGTTCTTTGCGACTTCTTATTCTGTTGATGCAGTCGAAATAACCTAAAACTCACCTATATAAAATTTTGCAAGTATTTTTGAAAATCAGGTCTGAAGTTGAAAGGAATCAAGAAAATTCTTCAGGACCCAGAAACAAAACTGGGGGTGCTGTTGTTCTAGAGAGGAAGAGTAAATGAGATTTTAACAAAGGACTACAAGTCAAAGCCCTGGGACTTTGTAAGGCTTATGCTGAATCTAAAACATCTTCTATCCATGCATTCCCAACATAAAACTAATGAAAGGGTTAAACCAAAAACAAAATTTATCCACTAGCAAGGAGTAGCTTAATTACCTTAGTAGAACAAAAATTAGGCCCTTAGAACAGAAATTGTTCCTCTGAAAGTGAAACTCTAGGGTATACTTATATGTGTTTGAAGTTCAAGTTTACATAACTCCCTTCATCTGCCAACCTCTAAACAAAGAAATTAGGAAATAAACAAAGCTACCAAAAGTAGAGAAATGAAAGAAGAAATGAAGGAAGGGAAGGACCAGACCTGATGTGTGTGTGCTCATGTGTGTGTGTGTGTGTGTGTTAAATACCAATAATCAAAGAAGAATAAAACCTACAGTTAGTCTACTAATTTTTGTCGTAGGTATTTTGCATTGTGATCAAGATCATTAATATGTGGTATCATGATCTACCTGTGTTTTTTTCAGGAATTTAAGGATAGTCTATAACTGGAAAATATGTAAACTTATAGTAAAAGAAAAAAATGGTTAAAATAAAAGCCAAATTTAAGATAATGATATGGAATTCACTTAGGGAAGGTTATAGAGGTAAAGGCTTCAAAAGAGTCTGTAATGTCTTATTTCTTAAGTAATGAGTACATGGGTGTTCACTTAAGATATAATAGTAGGTACAAATATTCTTTTATGCCTTTTTGTATATATGAAATGGGTTGTACTAAAAAACTAATCACATGAAGTAAGGTGATTCATCACATTCACACAGTGTAAAAGAAAAACTATAAAATCTCATCACTAGTTGCAGAAAAAGTATTTGATAACCTTAAACATTCATTTACACTTTGAAAAGACTCATCAAGTGATGCATATGTGAATATCTTTAAACTGATATGGGTATCAACCAAAAATTACAGCAAACATTTTATTTTAAAGGTGAAATGTTAGAAGGAATAAGACAGGCGTGTCTTAAGAATTATACTCGGAAGGCCAACTCTGTGACACAGCCCTAATATGCTGCCTGAGAGAAGCCAGGTCCTATATGGCAACTGAGGTTCAAATCCCTGACTCAATCAGCTTCAAACATGCTAGGCATGTGTGCAAGTACCCAGGATCTGATAGGCTGGAAGCCTGGAGGAAGGCGATTGCAGTGTGTCCAGACTCCATGGAGGGTGCTTCTCTCTCTCTTTCTCTCTTTCTTTCTCCCTCTCTTACATATTCTCACATGAGTATGCATGTACTTTATCATGAATAAAGACAAAAATTTAAAGAAAAGATAAAAAGTTTAAAAATAATTATACTTGTAAGTCCTAGCTAGGACAATAAAAAAGAATAAAATGGAGGAGAATTAGAAAATAAGAAAAAAATGTGTTTTTTAAAATCTGTTATTACTTACAGACAATGTTATTTATTATATAGAATACCTGAGTATTTAATTATAAACAGAACTAAAAAAGTTCAAAAACTTATTTGGTACCTAAGCAATACATGAAAATGAATTACCTTTCTATATAGCAAAAGCCAATAAGTAGAAATCTTTCTTTTTTTATTTTTTTATTTTGGAGAGGTTTTTGCTATAGGGCACATGTGCTCGCCAGAAAGACAGAGAGACAGAAAGCGAGAAATCACCCCCCAGGGGGGGATGGCCACGCCACAATCCCTTCTCCTCCATTCTCCTCTAGGGATCTTGGGCACACACGCACACACGCCCAGCATGAGTTTAAGTCGCCGGGTCTGGGCCTCGAGCTGCAGTCAACTACATGGGAGTCCAGCGACATAGCCATTACACTAACTGCTGGTCCCAAGTAGAAATCATTTTAGCAAAAATTCCACTTCCAGTATCAACAAAAAATTGTAAACCATGGTATAAAATCTAATTAAAAGCATGCAAGACATTTACAGGAAAAATGATACATCTTTATTAACAGGAATCAGTGGAGAGTATACCATGTTCATTGATGAGATTATTTAATGTTGCTAATTTAATAGAATTGACCTTTTTTTATTAATTTACCAGCGAGTATGTGTGCTTGCTAGAGAGAGAGCAAGAAGAAAGATCACACACCCTATATGATGAATGGTCACTCCACAATGCCTTCTCTTTCATTGCTCCCTCCTTTCAGGATATTGGGCTTGTGCACAAATTCACTTGGTATGTTTTTCAAGTCACTGTATCCAGGACTTGAACCATACAGTTAATTCCACTTAAAATTAAAGAAAGACCATTGGTTGTACTTGATAATCTAGGTCTAAAATTTATATTTATGTTTATATTTTTATTTCTTAAATATAAATTTAAAATTTTTAAACTTATTTATTTTCATTATTATTGTTGTTTATACATTCTTGGTAGAATGTATTTATTCTTCTACCAAGAATAGCTAAGTCTGTTTTGGAAAAGAACAAGAAGAGAGGTCTTATCTTATCTAGATACCAATGTTTAAGTATCATAATTAAAACAGTGTGATATTTTCATAAATATAGTAAAACAGACAAGTGCTTTCAACCAATAGCTCAGAAAGAGGCACATTTATATGTGGAAACATGTTCTATAACAATTATAATAGCAAATCTTGTATAGTTTACCACATTAAAAATGAATTAAAATTTTATTTCTACTTCATATTTTTCACAAAATAAAATTCACCTAAGTGTGAAAAGCAAAACTTTAATTCTTGTAAAAGATCATATAGGAATGTACTACTATGATCTTGAGTAAGATAGATTTTCTTTAAAAGACACAAAAGGAACCAACCCAAATGTCCATGAATAGATAAATGGATTGAAAAAGCATGACACGTATACTCCACAAAATACTATTCAGCCATCAAAAAACAAACAAACAAACAAAACAAGACCCTGGCATTTAATAGAAAGCAGATGAATATGGACGATTTATTGCTGAATGATGCAAGTCAGGCTATGAAAGAGAGACATTGTATGTCTCCACTTAACATATACTGACTGTCCACACTCTGTGGTAGAGACTGAAAGACTAGAGGGCATAAAAGCATTGAAAATTGTCCTGGACACTGGAGACAGTGTGGGAAGAGGGTGGGAGAGGAGAAGAGTGTAGGGAGAGAAATTAGGGAGGAAAATTAGGTAAGATATTTGTGGGACACAGAAATGGTTTATTACCTATTGATAATAACATGTACAGTATTCTTGACTTGTCTGAGGTATATTTCATGTGGGTAAATTATCTTTATAAACTAAATTAAAATAGCAATTGAATGTATAAATAATAATAAAATAAATTATTTTTTTAAAAAAGACAAAAATACAAATAAAGAAGTTGTTAATTATATTGAAATTCAGAACTTTCATTTAACAAGAACACCATGAAGTGAATAACATGGCATAAATTGGAAGAAAATAGGTGCATTGCATAAGCCTAATGAAGTATTCATATCCAGAATATATGATGAAGCCTGTAAATCAATAAGGATTTTTTAAAAAGATAGTTGAAACATGTGCAAGAACAAGAATAAATAATTCTCAGAAGAAACCCAAACAACCAGTATATTTATGCAAAGATAACCAGCCTCACTAATAATCATGAAAATGCAAACTATTAGAACTAAATGAGGTATCATTTTAGACTTACCAGATTGACAAACTATGAGTCAGTATCATATGGGGACAAAAAATGTGGGGAAATAAGAATACATATATGTGTGTATGTGTGTGTGTGTTTGTATATATACATACACACATACCTGCATGCATATATGTATTTATATCTGATGGGAATATAAATTGTATAACTATCCTGAAGAAAGGTTTAACAATGTATAATAAAGACAAGATGCACATACTCTACAACCAAGAAATTCTAGTTCTGAGTGCACAGTATAGGGGAACTTGCACGTTTTCAAAAAGATGTATGATATTCACAGCAACACTGCATCAGCAAAAGTAAAAACCTTCAATGTCCATCAACAGGAGACACAGATAAACAAATTGTGATATATTCTTTTACTGAAATACTATATTCCCTTGAAGATTAATGAACTGGAACCACATGAAACAGCATAAATAAGCTCAAAAACATAATGTAAAGAGAAAAACAAGTCACGATTACATGCAGTAATGTAACATTTACATAAAGTTTAAGGCATGCAAAAATAATACCATACATCTCACATTATTGAGGGGTACATCCATACATATGGAGTAAATATATGAAAACATGCAGGGAAATGATACCCTCTCAATACAGTATGTCAGACACCCCAGGAAGAACGGAAGGGGATAGCAGTCGGGGGTTCCAGTTATATCAGCAGTGTTTATTTGTTTAAAAAGAAGACTCTAGAACTACTTCAGCAAAATGTTAAGATTTAACAAAACTGTCTGATAGGTATAGACTGCCTTTTATATCTTCCTCTATACGTTTTTATATCCTTAACATACTTCTTCATTTTAAAAGATGCATGTATCTTTTAAAGCAAGTTCACCTTCTTGCAAAGTTGACATTCACTCGCCCTCCTTGCCGTTTGTAGATGATCCTACGCCTACAAAAGGAAATCCAGGAACTGAAGGATGAACTGGCTATTGTCACTGGGGAACGGAGGACAGAGGCACTCACAGAAGCAGAGCTCCTTCAGTAAGCCTACAGGCTTTCTTTTTTTTTTTTTTTTTTCCCCTTTAACAGTGAAAGTTTGTGTTAGCTTCTTTGTTGGCCCTAATGTTACGAATTCACCTCAAAGCGCTAAGGTCTCCAGGGACAGTCTGAAATTGCATTTAGGCGCCAGTTAAGAGTGGCAGCTTTCCATGAAAAGCTGGATAAGGCTGGCAGTGTTTTTGCCGCCTCAGCTTTGAGGAAGTGAAGAGCAGAGTATAAAGAGGATGGGAATATCCTTCTCCTGCCACAGAGGCACTCACAGAAGCAGACCTCCTTCAGTAAGCCTACAGGTTTTTTTTTTTTTTTTTTTTCCCCTTTAACAGTGAAAGTTTGTGTTAGCTTCTTTGTTGGCCCTAATGTTACGAATTCACCTCAAAGCGCTAAGGTCTCCAGGGACAGTCTGAAATTGCATTTAGGCGCCAGTTAAGAGTGGCAGCTTTCCATGAAAAGCTGGATAAGGCTGGCAGTGTTTTTGCCGCCTCAGCTTTGAGGAAGTGAAGAGCAGAGTATAAAGAGGATGGGAATATCCTTCTCCTGCCAGCTGAAGAGAGGGATTGTATAATAGTCATGCAATTTTAAAACACACACACCATCCACTCTTAAGCTGTGGATCTCAGATCTGAGAGGAATTCAAGAAACATCCTTTGTATTAAACAACATCTTACTGCAAGCACCAATTTATCCCATGCCAAAATAAGCTCTCTTCTTTAATAAATAGATGGCTCATATATTATAGTTCAAACACTCGACCTGGGAATGAAAGCAGGTATTCAGGTCTTTATGCAAGTGCGGCATCTTTCAGAGCCTTTAGATTTGCAGCCATGTGGCAATGAGAGTCACAATGTGGCTCTCATTCAGTCTCTGGTCATGGGCCACCATGGTGGGCTTTCGTGTCATTCCTCGCTGCTTATTAAGCATTCATGGTGTGGTAATAATGGGCTTAGAAGGCAGTGGCATGCTCTATTTCCAAGTAACAAAAAGAGCTGCACAGACTTGTCTAAAGAGCTACCGCCATCTCACCTAACTTTCCCTCAGCAGAGAAAATGGTAGGGCAGACAGACCATAAAAGTACAGTAGTTTTCTTAAATTATCTCATGGCTGCCCTGAGGTAGGTTTAAAGCTTAAGAAGCCCAAAGCACAGTTTCTGTTATACACAACGCTTTCACTCTTCCAGGATCATGTTTCCTAATTCCGTTAATAGAACACCATATTTAACATGATAGGTCTCTAAATATTTCCTTGAAAAACCGCTTCATGGCATATTTGCAATTAAGGTGAAATAAGTGTACAGGCAAAAACCCACCATTTTAAGACTGTCATATCACTTCTGGAAATAACTTGAGTCTATGGGGCTGGCAGGTGGCGGGGTGGTTAAGGGCGCTGGACACCCATATGGCCAACTGCACGTCAAGTCCTGGACGTGGTTGCCTGCCTTCTCACTTTCTCTCTTGAGCTCTCTCCCTCTGTCTCTCACTCTATTCCTCTCTGGTCAAACAAAAATAAATAATTAAATGGATAAATAAAGTTAAAGTTAAATAAAATAATTCTAAAAAAATAGAAATTATTTGAGTCTAATATCGTAGATATTGAGAACACTAAACTGCGAATTTCTTTACTCTGGTGCTCCTTTCCTCTCAGAAAAGAATTATCAAGTATTAATAGTATCTTTGAAAATATTTCTGCAGGCAGCCTGTGGAGTGGTTGTAGAGGCAGCTGTATTTCATATGGCTGACCTTGAGGTTTGATTCCCAGACCCAGCAACTTTATAACAACAGCAGGCACGTGTACCTGCCCAAAATCCTGAAAGAAGAACTAGAGAAGGGATTGCAGTGTGGCCATCCTCTCTGGGGGCAGGGAGGGGTACTTTCACTCACTCTCTCTCTCTCTCTCTCTCTATCTCTCTCTCTGTCTCTCTCCAATGAGTACACACATCCTCTAGCAAATTTAAAAACATTTTTTTTTCTTTAAGTCAGGATCCTGCTGGGAAAAGAAAACCACTCTAGACCTTTCAACAAAAGAAATTAAATGTAGGAAATTGATTGCATGAATGATGGTGTTGCTCAGAAGCTAAATAGGAAATGATGCAGTATCCCAGAAATCAGTTACAGCAGGAGCTCCTATACCCCTGGGACTGGAGAGACAACAGGAGAAGGCCACACCACAAAACCAAAGCGCTGGAGTGACCAGCAGGAGCTAGACCATAATGAGTGCTTCCTGACAGGACTTGTGGCCACTGAGGAGCCACAGGTGCTATTTGAGACATCAAGGTTGGGGGAGGGGGTGTGGCAGTCTTTGGCTGCTCCCTCATTCTCCTTCCAGTCTTCCACCAGTGCCTCCCATTGGCTAAACTTAGAAGCCAGTTGCTAGAGGATCAGGGAATGTAGTTTCCTGTGATGCGAACGGGGGAAAGGTTAAAATTATAAGTAGGAGCCACATATCAAGCAAATAGCAGTGCTTTCTCCAATTCCTGAATATGTTGTATGTTGCTTAGGAGGCTTAGTTCAGAATATGATTTCAAATGTGGTGGTTTCATTATATCAGACTGAGCAGTGTGCTCAATGTGCACCAAATCTAGAGAATCATAGAAGTGGTTTTAAAAAAAAACAAGATTCTCTAGCTGCACCTAAAACAAGAAGTGGATTTCTTGAGACACTAGAGGCTTCAAGAGTTCCTAAGAGAGAGGAAGGTGGGGTTGAGATGGGCAAGAGGAAAGAATGGACCAAGAAAGACTTGGTTACAACATGATGAAGGCTACCTGTCTAGAAGCAGACCCTGGAGTAGAGAAGAGCTAGAAAAAGCCAGCACACATTTGGCAGAGCTGTGTACTGGTAACGTTTGCCCATGAGTCCTTCCTTTGTTTACACACTCCTTGTCCTTGGTGCTGAGGATGGAGAGATGGCAAAGGGCCACAGGTAGCTGATAGAGGGGGACCAGGTAAGAGAGATGAGAGTCTAGAAAAGATGAGCTCGCAATCAGAAATAATGAGAAGCAAAATATGAGGACTTCCAAAACTCTGAGAAAGACAAGACTGTGGATGGCAGCATCATACTGTCAGGGGGTACTGTCTCTTTGTCTCCCTGTCTCTCAATATTTTTCTCTGCTCCTGTTCATTAAATAAATAAACTTAAAAAAAGACTTCAGAATAAAAGAGCTACCAAGTGTTAAGCCAAGTGGTCATATTGTAGAAAAATTTTCAAAATATAGAAAATTATCCCAAAAAGTTACTAGAGAGGGAAAAAATTATGATTAAAAATCAAGAATCTGAAGTAGAGCAGAGTGATTATCAGAAATTCTGGAAACAAGAACTTCTAGTACTTAAAAGCAAAACAAAGAATTTTAAGTGTATATTTTTATATCTAGTTAAAACTAGTATCCAAATGTGAGGATGAAATAAAGGCATTTTGTAGACGTATACATTTTGAGACAGAAGAATTACCACCCTAGGTCCTTTTCTCATAGAACATTCACAGAAGTTGGATGGGTACTTAGAATAGAGAGTAGTAAAATTGTGACAACAGATTAAAATGCCACAGTGGGGGCCAGATAGTGACAGGGCAATAAAATGTGATGCTCGTGGAAAGGGCTCATGATCCAAACATGAAACCTCCTTGGTTACATCAGACGCACATTGGCCTATGATCTGGGGTTGGATGAAGGCTGGGAGTGAACTCTAGCATCAAAACTCTGGGGGGTGGGGGGTCAGGTAGGTTGGTGGTTAAGGTGCTGGACTCCCACATTGCCAACCATGGTTCGAGTTCCAGACCTGGCAGCTTGAAAATCATGCTGGTTGTGTATACGTGCATTCCCAAAATCCCAGGAAGAGAATAGAAGAGAAGGAATTGTGGGGTGGCCATCCCCCCAGGTGTTGATTGTTCACTTTCCCACTCACTGTCTCTCTCTTGTCTCTTTCCAGTGAGCACACGTACCTTATGGCCAAAGCCTTTAAAAATACATAAATAAAAAAGATCTTGTTGGGAGTTCTCTCTCTGTTTCTCTCACTCATGGAAGAAATAAATAAACAAAAAAGATTAGTTCCTTCTCTTCCATTTATATATAAATAGAAAAAACTGAAGGATTCTTAGATCTTGGATTGATTTCTGTTGATCCATAGATAACAAATACACAAATGTCAATCCCAGCAGATTCTACATAGAGTATATAGGATTGCCATTAGTTTGAGGGGGTTTTGGCACTGTTATTTAATTCATTAATTTAACATTTATTATTATTCTGGCACTCACTAACTCTACCCTAGGCCTTGAGAGAACATAATGACATGCAAATCCTCCATCCTGTTCTCAAGGGACTCGCAGTTTATTGGTGGTGACAGATGTGAGCACAAGTCGTGATGATGCAGTATGTCAGCATTATGAGAAGACATAAACAACACACAATGAAAACCAAGAGATAGTAATGACTACTTTCGAGCTCAGGAATCATGTGAAACTAGTTTATATGTTATTGAATAAGCCTCAACAACTCCAAATAAAATTACTTTTCTGCTGTCCAAAGAAGTATACTTTTGGATATTAGGAAAGTCATGATGCATTTTTGCCTAGAAAAGCATAGAAAAATATGTCACGACTTTCCCGATGACCTAATATGTAACATGGTGTTTTATTAGTGATTTCTGATCAGCAGTTACAGAAGAAAAAAGTAAACCACATCCACCCTGCCAAAGCAAAGCAATAGGGTTCCACAACAACCCAGAGAATTTGGTGTTTGTTCACAGTGACACCACAGATTATTCAGATAATTTGTTTTATTCCTTTTGTTTTTGTTATAGAACTACCACAGACTACTTTAGCAAAGAGAAAAATATAATTATTAAAAGCACTAGAATGAGCAAATTTTGTTACATCTTCTTTATGACACTTAATATTGTGTAATATTTATATTATGTCTTTTACTAACTTGCCATTTTTCCCATAAATGAATATTTCTGTGTAAAAGTTCTTTTTTTTTTTTTTGAGAGGTTTTTG